AAAAAAAATCCACCAAAACAAACAAACAAAAAACCACAAAAAAACCCTCTTGTTCCTGGTGAGTATCTGAGCTTTTGAACCTTACAAGGTAACTACATTTGACTGAACCATATTCTGTCCTCTTTTTCTTTGTAAACAAACCTTTGTACCTGGCAAAAGTCAACTGCCAGCCAAAAATCTTGACCCTATTTATCACCTGGATTGTAGTCAGAATTTATATTGCTGTGTCCAGTATAAGGTAGCTGCTTGATGGATTGGACTGATTTCATGGTTTTCGTTTGAGTCTGTGGCTTGTAGCAGCTTAGAAGAACATAGTACTTTAGCATTAAGGATTTGGGGGTAGGTGAAGAGTGCCAAAGCTTAACATTAGTCTGCACTGCAATATCGTAAAACTATTCATTACTGAAAGACTATTATTTTGTTTCCTTTTTAGTGCAAAACAGCTGGTTCGTGGAGAACCTAATGTCTCATACATCTGCTCTCGGTACTACAGGGCGCCAGAGTTGATCTTTGGAGCCACCGATTATACCTCCAGTATAGGTATGTATGTGTATTTGTCAAATGGTGTACTAGCTGCATGTGGTTTTATTATGTAGTTAAGTGTAAAGGTTTCCAGAGATTTTGGATATGATCATAAGACACAGAGTGTTATTGTAAATGCTCAAGTACCACTTCTAATGGAATACACAGATTTTGTAGATGGCTGCTGTGATTTCTATGCCTTTTGAGATTTCAGTGTCAATTGCATTAGGAAAGGGACTCTTTTAATGTGTGTAGGTTTTTTTTTTCAAAATGAACATTTTCCAGGTAATTTTGCTATTTAGTTTAAAAGTAGGTATGAGTTCTCAAGCCAAAAAAGCATTCGATGACTTACAATAACTGTAAAGAAGGATTGTAAAGACTGTTTCTGTAAAGAAGGATTATCAGCTACTGCATCTGATATGCCAAAACCAGGATAGATTTAGACATGAATAATTTTGTCACTTGTTTACTTGGCTTTTAGTGAAGTGTTTTTAGTGGGAGCAAAAATGTGGCCTGATGATTGGCTTTAAACTCTCTTGACAGTTTTAACATATTGCATACAGTAGTCTTTCTGATTCAGCTTACTCTGTTAACTTTTTCTGTCCTGTAGTCATTAATTTTGAACACGAAGACTTCTTTCTAAAACCTGCCACGTAGCTGTGTCATGGGAATGTTAGGGAAGCTGGAGGTTTTGGCAGAGGACAGGGAATAGCTGAATCCTAAAAATGCACAGCAAAATAAAAAATGATAAAAATTAACAGCAATGTACTGGCTGGTTATGGGCAACTTCTTAATTTTTTTTTTTTTTTTTTTTTTTTTTTTTTTTTAGTCAGGATATTCTCTGGGCCCTTTCTGAAGGCTGATGCTAAAGAGATGAGATTTGGCGCTCAGATTCCCCATTATTGTGCTAAGCTTTTACCGTGCTTATGGACTTGAGTCACTTAGGCAAGGTTTAATACGGTCAAAAGTATTTGGAGATCATGATCAAGTTTTGGCAGCATATGTTTATCACCCTTTAAAGTGTGTTTAAAGATAATATGTTCTAACTAGTATTAAACTCATTGGCTGTCTGTCTCGTATCGATTCTGTACTTCAAAGATAGAAGTGTTCCTGAAGACTTACCTGCTCTTCTTAATCTTTTTTCCTCCAGTATGTTTTACAGCAACACTCGCTTATCTCCCCTGCTATAAAAAAAAGGCAGAGCCATAAGTCGTCTGGGGAAAGTAATGGCACAATAAAGATAAAAAGGCAGAACTTATTTAATGGTTGGCCACTGCCAAAAGTGGTAGCCCTAGCCCTATTCTTTCTTGCCCCTGGATACCATGGCTGTCATGGTTTACTGTTTATTAGCATCAATTGACAAGAGACTTTTATTTTGGTTAGGTTAACTTTCTGCTACGTTAGTGAGTTGAATCAACATTACTGTGTAGTCCAATAAGTAGCAGAGCCCAGGTAAAAGCAAAGTGGAGGGAAGTTGTGAGTGAGAGGAAGGCGGCTGATCCTGGTTGACATATTTTTGCCATCTGAGAGCTAACAGATTGGCTCAGCTGCGTTATCAGAGTGCACTGAGACCACTTGTGTCATAGGATAGCTGCATAAAACAAGTATTTTAGGTGTCACCAGAAGAGACTGCTTTGTAGATAAGTCTGTTGCTCCAACGGTGTACTAACTTTGATCTTACACTTCTTTTGCAGAACCTTTTTTAAGTTGCTCTTTCCTTTTTTGTTTACTTATCTGCTGGTCTCTGAAATACTCATAAGTAGTCAAGTCATTTTGAAGTGAGGATTCTTTATTTTCCCCATGCTAGAAACATCATTACTTTAATTGTTGTGGTTCAGACTTTCTCATGCTCTCTCAAAAAAAAAAAAACAACCCAAACACGTCCCCCCAGGCCCCTTCTCTGAACAAATCAGTCTAAATGAAACTTGCACAGAATAACTTGAAAATGAAGTTTAGCCAATACTCCTGCCTTCCTACCCTTTCCTCCCTCCACTTTCTTACCAACAAAATCTTTGCTTTTGGGAGATGGGAAATCATAAAATGCTTTTACAAACTTACTTTGCAGTTTCCCAATGTTCTGCAATATATTAGAAATTCTCGGGGTTTAGTTTCGTGATGATGCTGCTTCCAGTGGTAGTAAATACCATATTCCTTAGTGCTTGCTAGATGTGTCTTTTAACACGTGAATTTGTCCTTGCGACATTGCTTGCTCTTCAGTGTAGCAGAAACTGAAGTTGGTTCCAGGATGTGTCTGTTCATGCTGGATGCCACATCAGAACTGTAAACTGGCTTTTAACTTCTAGGATCTTGATTATTTCATCAAAGCGCGTGACTTAAATTCAAACCCAAAAGGTCCCTTCTAAAAATAACTCGCAGCAAGGGGTAGTGTTTGTTGCAATATTGTAAAGTACTGCATTAGTGCTGTATATAAATATATATGATAGTAAGAGTAGCATCAAAACACATTTACAGCTGTTAATGCCTCTGTGTCTGTCATCGAGCAGATGTGGGACTACTAGTAAAACAATGACCTGGGAAATTACCTATTTGAGTTTTTAAATAGTCCCTGTTGCCAAATAGTTACAAATCCAGGCCCATAATAGCTCTGTCGTCTGCCTGTGTTACAACTTCAAGGTATTTTTCAATGGTCAAGCACAAGCATTCATGTCACTTGGGTGCCTTCATAGTTTCTACAGTTTGGGCCTTCGTGCGTCTTTGACTATGAATTCTGCAAGTGTGTGCATGTCCCTAAGGCTTTCTGGGGATGGCACGTAGTTTTGTTCCTGCGGCTGATTTGTAGGAGTTTTGGGGAGTTTTGGTGGGGTTTTTTGTTTGTTTTTTGGTTTTGGTTTTTTAGGTTTTTTTGGTGTTGTTTTTTTGGGGGTTTTTTTTGGTTGTGGGTTTTTTTTTTTTTTTTGCAAACCCAGCCCTTCTGCTATCCCTTGACAGTGTTTTGGCCGAAGCTTCTTCCTTGCAGGTTTGTGTGTGTTACACCATCCCAGAGTATGTTGCCAGCAGCATGCTGGTCATCTGGGTGCTGCTGCCTGCTGAAAAACCGTGGGATGGCTGCCCATGTTCCCCTACAATGTCCTGTGACAAACAGGCGCTGAAGCAGGGGTGGGTGCAGATGTTTCTGTTGCCATGTGATCCTCTTCTTCAGAAAGAAGTTGTGAAGTCAAGCTTAACCCCCAGAACATGCTTTTTTTTTTTTCTTTACTAGGTTAGGTGATGGGGCAATGCTCACCAGAACGTGGCGGTGCTTTTGGATAACAAGGGTCTGCCACTCTCGGTGCGTTTTCTCCATCACTGCGCTGGCAGGAATTGAGAGTGTTCCAGAGAGAACATTTATAGCCACTGGCAGGGAAAAATTGATCTGCGTGGCTGTATTGCTTGGGGTGTCCAAAAATAAGTATCACAGTTATTCATTCACTTTCCTAGCAAGCGCTAAGACAGAGTGAGAGAGTATTTCACCTCAGCAGTCTGGAGCAGAAGCTCCTCTGGAGGTGTACATAGTCAGGCTGTCTCAGAGTTTCCTGGGGAAGAGCCATCACAACTTGTGTCCCAAACCTGTTGCCAGTGAAAAGTACCTGCCTCTATCTCAGATGGTAACTTCCAATGCTGAAAATAAGCACAGGCATTAATTTACTGAAATACTGTCAGCTGTCATTGTAGTTTCATCTCTTCATTGCAGAAAAATAGATACACCTGTGTTTAGCTTTTGTCCCAAGTACTAGAACAAGCATGGCTTTCCAAGCATTTCAGGTTTCAGCCTTATTCTGTCTCCATAATCTGGATCTGTGGTGGCTTCATGTGCAAAACTTGCACTGACGTAGCATGCATGCCTGTAATCCAGAATTTTGCTCTCATTCCGACATCCGCAAAAGTGTTCTAAACAAGCAGCAATGAAAAGCGCTTTGTGCTCTGGCATTTGGCAACTAGAAGCTGCTGATTTTACGACTTCCTAAGGCTGCTTTTCTGACTCCTGGTTTCTTCCCTGCTAGCTTGTTTTCAGAGTTTCCAGAGAAGCAACTTTGAGTCACCTCCAAGATGGAAGAAGTCCATAAAGATCAAAGGATAGTGGGGCAGAGATGAATAGATTAGGGAGAAAAAAAATGTAGAAAGGTAAAAGTGCCCCATGAAGTGCCAGATGAAGGAAAGTTCTTAATTTGTATTAAATGTTTGAGAGTAGGCGCAATTTTTTTTTTTTCTTCATGTCCTCCAAATAACAAGTTAGAGGAGCTGGAGCGTAATACAACGAGTGGTGCTCATGCCATGAAGAAGAGGGCCAGCTCCCCAGCTTGGAAGGGCAGAGTTTGAGATAACAAGACTGAAATTCGTGGACAGGGTATTCTGCCACAGCTGGAAATGGCCATGCCCACTTGTACAATTAAATCTAGGGAGTGTATTTTGCAGGTTGTTTTGCCAGATGCCTACTCCTGAACTAAAGAGAAGTTTTTCTTTTTCTTACCTTCATTAGTGATGGAATGGCATTCAAAAGCGAGGGAATTATACAGGTGATATTTTTAGACAAGTTAATGTTCACCTAACAACTGCGAAGATTGATAAAATAACAGAAAATTAAATTAAGAAAAGTTTTTTAGTATAAGAAGCTATATGAATTTTTGTGTGCTTAAATTAGTGCAGGTAGTTCACATGATAATGGTATTTGTCTAAGTGTTTTGCAGTCTACAAAAGATATGGCATTAGCTACTATTAGAATGTGTGAAAGCTGTATGAAATAAGCTTATTTGAAGGTTGGGTTTGGCTGGCAGTTGCATTTACTGTCCATACTGTTTAGACTGTATTTCACTGAAGGTTTGAACAAAGTAGCCTTGCCTACCTTCTGCTACTTAAAATTAACAGCTTTCAGTATTTTCTCCTAAAATTTCACATTGTCCCAACTAGTTTGGCATAAGGATGATTTGTTGACTTGATTCTTGTTTTCTGTTAAAGTTCTCTCTTATCTTGTTTACTATGTTTATTGACATGTGAATGATAGTCATATTTCACCTTAATTAAATTGCATATATTAAAAAGAAATAGATCAGAAAATGCTTCTCCTCCATGGGAGCAGGTAGTTACACCACAAACTAACTCTGAAGGATTATTAACCTACAATAGTTAGCTGTGACTGTGCTGAAGCAGAAAAGGGTCTGAGAAAGAGCTATCAAAAGCTAATATTAACTACCTTATCACTTCTTGAGTAACATGTCTTTAAATGTAGAATTCAGTACATTGTTTACTTCAGGCTTGAGAAAAATGCTACCATCCAAAAAATGAAAATGCCAGATTCAAATGGGTAAGGGGAAAAGGTAAACTATCCTGGAGCCAAATTTTAGTCCTGTTAAAGTTGATGGTTAATTCCATTGAGTTTTCAGCAGAGCTGAAATTTCCCAGTTTCTTCCTTATTGTACATTGCTCACCAGAGCTGTATAAACACCTATGTAAATTGTGTTTTGTTGCCATCCCTGCTGAAGTTAGCCTCTGCTCTCTGGCGTTCCTCTGGTAAGGATGCTTCAGGGGTTTGTTCACTTCCTTGCCCAGGGAACATTGCCCAAGTCCTAATTTGGAAGCCAGTGAAATTGCACTCCTGGAATAAAGTTGGGGATTTTGGAATGCCTGTAGCTTATTTCAGTGAGTGTTTAAAATGTTAGCAAGTAAAATCAAGGAAAACTAAATAGACTTTTAACAAGGCAGTAAATCACCTGATTTGGAAGATTTGGCTGCACAAGGAACAACTGCATAGGTTTCTGATGGTTTTCTGGTATGTTTGATGGATTAAACCCATCACTAATACAGCAAATATTCCTCAGACTTCCCCAGCTATTTCCTTTCTTTTCCTCCTCTCTCCCCCTGCGATGCCCTCAGCTTTCTCGTGTACCCTCTACTGTTCCTGCTTGGCCTTCTTGCTTCAGCAAGGACCTGCATGTCCTTTGACTTGCTTGCAGCTGCAGGTTATCGGGGTGGGGGCAAGCCTGGTGTGTCCCTCAGGGACTGAGCCTTCCTCTCCTCAGCAGCAACACTGATGCATGCTCTCCCCACTGCTTTTACAAAACTTCTGCAAAGGATTTGAGGCTTCTGCCTTTCAGGCTTGTCTGAAGTTGGCTGGTGGAGTGTGAAGGCATTTAGGGAAACTGGGAAAGGATAAAACAGCACAAAGCCAACTTCATGGAGCAGCCAGACCGGAAGGTTATTTAAAACAGTTTTTAAAGCCACAGTCTAATTCAAAAAAATCATGCTAGTGTAGTTTCAAAATTTTAAAAGGAACTGAGTTGTGAATGCTGACTTACTCTCATGTCAGCTTAGGGTTTGTGTATGTTCTGTCAAATATTTTTCCTCCTTATATGTTGTAAATAACGATTATAGCTTTGAGGTACCATTTGTTTTGTATACTCAGTGAAAAGGACTCAGCTTTTTCAAAAGCCTTTAAATAGGTGTCTTTAAATAGATTTAAGTTACAGTACTCTCACTGCTTAGTACATTTAATCTGTTTCTGAAGAAATCTATGCTATCTGTTGAACTGTTGTATAATTTCTTATAGACCTAGTGTGCGTGGGATGACAAAAAGTGATTCTTTGCATCACCTTTTTGTTGTATGTGTTGGTCCAACAGCAGGAGGTATCAGAGAGAGACATTGTTTAGCGGTCAGATACAATCAAATGTTCTTTGCTTGATGCCGCCTTCGATTATTGTCCAAAAGTGAACTTAGCACCTTGGTGGCCATGTCAGCTTTTATTAAATGTGACTAAAAGATGAAAAAGCATGATCTGGTTTGTTTGCTTGTTGGAATTAAAGACTCAAACTTCAGATTATTTCTGGTTGCTGTTTGTAACTAAAAAGTAGTTACTTTTTAGGATAAACCTTGGTGTGATGTTTGTACCTTCATGCGATGATTATGTAAAAACGCATCCATTTGACTTACAGGTGAATGATTTTGAAAGCTGCTGTAAGGAGCAGTGCTTTTTCTCTTACCATATGTTACTGTACCTCTCTTGAGAAGAGGGGGAAGTCTTTTTGCATAGCACCTCTCTTTCATTTAGAAATGGGAGAAGGAAAAGTCTGTTCTAACTTGCAGATTATTTTGTAACCAATCTTGAACTCCTGAAAGGTTTTTTAAATTATTTTTTTTGCATCAGTCTCTACTGGTTGTGATAATAGACTGTTTAGAGAACTGTCAGAGACTTTTTCGTTACACAGACCTTTAGCCATAACTGGTAGTGTTGTGTGTATCCTGCTTCCCAGCGGCAGATTTTACATATGTTAGGGGAATAAGGATCTCTGTCGTAGCATGAGTTATCTCACGTTGGAACAGGCCTCAGGAGGTAAATTCTCTAGGTTTTGAGTTGTGGTGGTGCTACTGTTAGTTTGCAGGGGAAGGTTAGCTCATAAAAGTAGGCGAGAGTTTGAAGAAAGGTGTGTGGAGGGGGACTGGTTTTGTTCTTTTCCCTTTTGGGACATTACAGTATTGTAGGCTTTACAAATCTTCCATTACTGATTGCTTGTTTGAGGTTAGACTTTTTGTGTGAGGTTTCAGATATACGTGGAAAAAATGGTGCCTTTTCTAGAAAACCTCACAGTCAACCTATTTTTTTGGAGGAACAGTTATCTCTGCATCTAGGTGCAATACTTTTAGTGTGTTGAGCAGCTTAAACTTCAGTATTTGGTGTGCAGTTACAGCAAATTCTTACAGACATCTGCTATACAGTGTTTACTGCATTTGACTTCATTAGATTTTTCATTTGAATTAACTGTTTCAAAAATAAAATGCTATAAAATCCTGTAGTACACTTAGATACACTTGTAGTACACTTAAGCTGCTGTTGTAGTATTGGATCGTCTTATTTATATATAAGAAGATAAAAAAAGATAATAGATTATGAACATTTTCTTCATGTAGAGGAGTAGCTGCTAGTGACTACTTGTGCCTTTTGGTATAAATAAAAGCTAGTTGATGGCTTCTTTGATAGATGCTGTTGACCTGACCTATGACTTGCAGTTCTGTTGTCCAGCCAAGTTTGCAAATGGAATTGGGATAAAGATTAGGTCTTGATGTGACTGAGTTAGAGAGGCTGTCTCCCAGATCCCTGAATCATCATGTGCTGCAGAATACAAGTATTATTTGCAGTACTGGTTCACCTGCTAGTGTATATATGCTCTCAATATACAGATGAAAAATTGAGTCTATTCAACATTCGGAAGCAGTAAAAGCATCAACCATTGTGGTAGATGATACCTATGCATAGTTCATGATCGACATGATTTAAAAACAACACAGAGTTTTGGGAAATTACTAATTTTCACATGGCAAATGTTCTTGAGTCTTTTCGCTACATATATAAGTTTTAATGTCAATGTATTACAGCATGTAATGTTATTTTCCAGTTCTTGTTGTTTCATGGTTTGACCTCTAAGACTGTCTGTCCACTATTGCTTTATGCCAGTTACCTGTGTTTTCTTTAGCTGTATTATATACAGTATTAAGCATAACAAAGAAGAAAGTAGCTTAAAACTGCTGGCTTTATATAAATGGCCTGATATGTACCTTTTACTGATACCTTTCCCTGTCCTCCACTTTCCCCTTTTTAGATGTGTGGTCAGCAGGCTGTGTATTGGCTGAACTGTTACTAGGACAACCAATCTTTCCAGGTGACAGTGGTGTCGATCAGTTGGTGGAAATAATCAAGGTATGGAATTTTGTGTTCTTTTGACTGCATTATTCCTTGGGAATCAGCACGAAAATGTGTGTTGTTGTAACCTTGTCAGCATATATATTCTGTCACCATTGTACAGGGTGTTGCATGTAAACCTTGTTTGAAAACACTTATCATGCTTTTTTGAGAACTTTAGGATCTTTATGGCCCTCCTGCAGTCATGCATAATGATATATCATCTTTTAATTATATAGGGGTTTTTCCCCTCTTAAAGGATTGCACTTTCAGTGTGCTTGGAAATACTGCTTACATATCGAGCCAATATTTATTAATGTGTGATTGTCATTCTTTAAGAATCTGGCGCTTTTTCCTTTGTTGCATGCAATTAGTACTTGGCTTTGAAAACAGTGTTATTAAATTTCCTTGTGCCAGATTCTTCACATATGTAGCTGCCTTCTCTTCCTTCCTTCCAGCTCTTTGAGGTGAAAGGTGAGAAAGTGCACTCCTTTTTGCAGATGGAGAATCAGGAAATGTAGGGCAAAGATACCTTCCACCTGAAGACTCTTGTTTTTCAAGTGAAAAAGACCTAATTTTTTAGAATACGTTACATTTATGCATCACTTATGTTCAAACACATCTTGATTGATTTCATTTGGTAAGCTGTGAACATTCTGTGATACTTAAATTAGAGGCATGGAAGTAGCTTAAAAGATTGGTGCCTGACTTCCCAGAACCCTAGTCTCCCCTGCCTCCTTTAAATTCTGCAATGAAGGAAGCAAGATTTCTAGAGCACGCAGTGTATTTTTCCTCTGAATCTATGCTATGCACTTAATAAGATGGGAGTGTTACTGAGGATAAGATGCATGCACACACTGTTTGGCTTTATTGATTTCATCACCACAAGGGGACTGTATTAAGAGAATGTCCTCCTTGCTTTTGCCACTTAACTGCTACCTCGATACATGTATATTTGTGTGGCATGCATGTGAAAACCCTCTCAAAACCAAAATGTGTGGGTGGAAGAGTAGAACTTCCTACTTGTGTCTGTGTTACTCACTAGAAGACCTGCTGGTGTCTTTCTCCCTGTCCTAAGAGAGTGTATGACACCAACCAACACCAAGTTGTCACTCCCCTGCCTGGAGGACATGGGCTGGTGAGGCTCAGTCTTTCTGTGGCCTGCTCCATGGTCTCAATGGAGCGTGCTCTGACCTTTTTAGGCTCTCACCCCATCTCCTCCAGCCTTTGACCATGTAAACTTAGCTTCTATTACAGTGGGTTTCTGTCTGTCCTGCTGGAAATTCTCCAGTCAACTCCTTTCCTCTGGAGGCTCCATGTCTTGCACCTATTTCTGCTATGAAACTTTCTTGTTTTCTTATTTTTGCTTTTCTGCCCAGTGTATTTCAAGCTTAGTGTGTCTGAGCTGGGTCAGTTTACGTAAGAAACACCAGTGAAAAAGCAGAGTTGCTGTCAGAAGCAGGGCTACTGCTGGGCACAAGTTTTTTACAGCGACAGTCCTGTAAGGCCTTCCATGGCTTGATCAGAAATCTGAGAGTGGAGAGGCCTTATCAGCAAAACCATAGTGCTCTGCCTTGCCATTGCTTTGACTTTCACAATGTGGGACTAAAATAATCGGGGAAATAGATGTCCTCTCTTTATTGACATGCTTGCCAAGTAGCAATGATGATTTGGTTCAAAGTTTGCAAGAAGCTGTTATCAGTTGGACGTTTCCAGTTCTGCAGTGTTGGAAGTAGCCATCTATGAACTAATAATTTTATAGCACATATGTGCTCCGATTGTGATGATTCCGCTCTGTTTACATTTGAGTTAAGTTGTATTGAAGTAGAGGAGTACTTGAATAAAATTGGTGATACCCTGTGTACCATCTGTGGTTTCTTTAAATGCCACTGCCATGAGTGGTGTGATAACTTTTTATTGACCAATTCATAGCTGAATATGTATTACTGGGAAACCAGGAAAAAGGCTTGAACTTCAGTAAATTATGGCTTAAGATTATGATTTTTGCTTCTGCAGGAACAAGTTTCTGAATCATTTCTTTAAATGTAGAAAAGGGGATACTGAATGATCATACACACCTGTGTTGGGGTTTTCTAATCTTCTGTTAGATATGTAGCCCACTATGCATAGAAATTAAGTGAAACAAATGTAGCGTTAGCCAAGTTTTATTATAAGCCTGATCTCTTCAATTGAAAGGTTACAGTACTGAGATAGTATGTTTTAGGAAAGTCTGAGAACAAATGCTGTAAATCTTACAGTAGTAGTCACAAAAAAGGATGTTCGTTGGAAAAGGATGTTAAGTATGATGGAAAATATGAGCCCGAATGGGTGGGTGCCATGAGTATTTTTCTGCCTGTCTGTTTGTTACTGAGGCAATGTATATTCTCAGGGCAACATTGGAAGATAATATGAGTGCAAACTGCAGAAGTGGGCTGTTTTTTCAGTGCCCTTGTCTAACAAATCTTATGTTGTGAAGTTTTGTATAAACTGTTCAGAAAGGCCCTCTTAGAAGGCTAAGGTGAGGATACAAAGAGAGTTATAATTGAAAATATTGCCTTTAAAGTCAACAGCTGTGAGAAATTGCCTAGGAAAGTGCATGAAATGGGCAATGAGGTGCTTCCCTTGTAATGCCACACACACGCCAACAAGTATTTCTCATAGTGGGAGTACAGGGAGAACACCACATTTACCTCAAATTTCATGTAATTTTTCCTCGCCTTTTGAGAATGAGGAAAAAGTAGAAAGTGAGGTCCTCTATTTTCTATGCCAGGTGTTGGCAAGGAACTGTCCCATCTACTATGTATCCCTTAAAAGTGACCAATAATAAAATGGAGCAGATCTGTTTTTCAAATCTGCAAAGAAGTCATGAAATATTCTGCTTTCCTCCACTCCTAGCATGATGCTTAAATTCAACTTGGATTTGAAAGGTTAGCATAAAAACTGCAACCTGTGTTTATTAAGCAAGCTTGGGTTCTGCAACCTCAATACAGTTGAAGACATACGCAATTCTGCAGCATAAAAATTACCAGAAATGTTGAAGTCTTGGGCACAACATGTAAAACATTAGGTTGTACAAGATTTCATTTAGGACAGGATCCATTTAAAAAAAATTTTTTACGGATTGTATCCAACTCTTCCATTTGCTACTATAGAATACTACTATTTAAAGCTTTCATTCGAACACAGACTTATTTTAATGCTAACTGTCTGTGGGAGAAACAGAGCTGTGGGGTCTGCCAGTTGTAGAATGGCAGTGAACTTTGTAGAAGGTTGCAGGTTGGAACCTGTGAGTTGCTGTTTGACTATCTTGGGAGTCATGCTTTTCAGATAGCTTCCTTGGAACTGTATGTCTGAAACTTAGGGGCAGAGAAAAAGGATTTTTTTAAACTCCTGAAAAGGGCTACAGTAAAAAAATACTTATCCACACATTTGGAAATGCATCTAACTTTCATACCTTAGATTTACTTGACTCCAGTGCAAGAGAGATCAGCTTAGAAACTTTTCTGCTGGTTCCTATCAATTCAGGATGACTGAGTCACAAGTCAGTCTTGTAGCATTTTTTGAACCAAGATAAATTTTTCAGTTGCCTCTTCAGTTGCTTACTGAGCTTTGATTATTCAGAGTTCACTTCACAACACAGCAATTGAATGCTACACCTGGGTATGAAGTTTTTGCATTAGACTGGAGAATGACTTCAAAATGCTGTCACATTAAACTAGCCCTCCCTTCTCATGCAGTTCTGGATGACATCCCCTCGGTAGCTGTGTTTGTGAACACAGAATTTCTGTGATATGTCAGTCCAGTATGGCTTGTCCTTCCTGCAGGCTGCATGCCCATTGCTGCATCAGAAGCATTTTTGGCTTTTGTCAGATTTTAATTCATTTTCAGCAGTCTTCACCTAATTTCATTTCAAGTGGTCTTGCAAGCTGATCTCCATCCAGTTGCACTTGGAGTTTCTCCAGGCCTATTGCATATTTGCAGACTGCTCCGAAAAATGGTGCCCCTCTAGAACGACAGCGTCACGTTCGTGTGAATCAAAAGACAGTTGTCGTTTTAGCTTGTTCCTGTTTCTTTAAAGACAGTGTTTCCAGATGTTCTCAATCTGGCTTGGGGAGAGAGATCTTTGACTACTTACCCCTGACAAGATGATATTCAATATGGGGAAGTACTGTCTTGGAGCTCCATCTGAAGAAATAATTTAACTCAAGTACGTTCTTCTTGAATACTTACACTATTACAGGAGAAAAATCATGTGCTGTGCTTTTTCCGAAGTCTGATCTTGAATGGTGACTCTCCCTCTTTATTTTTAGCTCTTGCTAGCTATTCCAAATGTTAGGTTATCTTACTGGCTTTCGAACGACATCTCCTTCAGAAACACGCTCAGTTTCTGAAGCAGGCACAGTGGCAGTGCAGGTTTCACCAGTGGCCACCTAAATTACATATGAGCAAGCATTGCACCTCAGAGAGCAGTCATACAGCCCTGTCCCCGACGGAAGGGTGAAACCCCCCTCCTTCCAGCAGGCCAGGAGGGCTGCAGTTGCCACTTCCCTATTTAAAATCCAGTGTGCAAGTGGGATACCGCTGAATACAGCTCAAAAGAAGGAGCCTTCAGACCACAAGAGGAATTTTTTTGAGATACAGTCAGGGTGGACTCCTCCAAAAATCCTTGCGTTCATGGCTAGCTATGCAGCAGCGGTGTCTGCGGGACTGCCATGCCCCCTGCGAAAGCTTGGGAGGTGGGGGGATTATTGTTTCCCCCCAGCTCTGCAGAGCCCCAAAACCATCAAGGGAAAATTGGCTGGGATTTCCAACCCCCCAATTAAAACATCTTCAACCACACTTCCTGCAGGCAGTGGTTACTCTTTATTCCCCTTGCAAAAAGGGAATCTCGGAAGCATAATGACTTTGTTTCTAAGGTAATAATTATCTTTGGAAAGGTTCTGTTTAGTACCTTCCCCCTACTCCCCTCAAAAATGGAAAAAAAAAAAATCATCTCTGCCAGAAGAATGAAGCGGCAA